GTAGTGATGTATGGAAGTGAGAGCTGGACCATAATTGATGCTTTTGAATTGTGGTGAGGGAGGAGATTCTTGAGAGTCCCCTGGACTGCAAAGATAACAAATCCATCCATTTTGAAGGAAAAGACCCTGATGTTGGGAAAGTGTGAAGGCAAGAGAAGGGGACGACAGAGGACGAGATGGTTAGACAGGGTCACTGAAGCTACCAACATGACTTTGACTAAACTCCAGGAGGCACTGGAAGACAGTGTTTAGGGACGGATTCCTCGCTTTAGAGGCACCGAAAATGGCGGCGCTATGGAGGATTTTCGCTCAACTGTGAGTTTTAAGCCGATAGGAACGCATTGAAGGGGTTTCATTGCGTTTCTATGGGCTTTTTAATATCCCATAGCAACGTTTTTGTTCTGAAGCGATTTTTGCGGAATGAATTAACGTCGCTAAGCGAAGCACCACTGTATCAGCAGAGTTTCAACAAAAAAGAAGAAAGTTTAAAACTGAATAAAGCTTGGCTCCCAGCACTGAAAAATACAGCCTGCAAAAGGTCACGAACTCTACCCAGCCACAAGGACTGGTGATCACTACACACAAAAGACCAGCTAACGACACCCATCAAGCACAGTGACAGATCATCTCCCCTCCTTATCACAATAGATCCACAACAACAACACACTAATCACCATAATCAACCATCTCCTGAACAGGACAAAAGCTGAACCCACAGCTATGAATACTCAACTCTCCAACTAACTGCACCAGAGCACAGAGTTCTGACTCCTGTCCTCTGAAGATGCCGGCCACAGAGACTGGCGAAACGTTAGGAAGAACAACCTTCAGAACACGTCCAAAGAGCCCGAAAAACCCAGAACAACCATTAGATCCCGGCCGTGAAAGCGTTCGCGAATATATTAATTCATTTTATTCATTTATTATTTAAAATATTTTAACTGCCTTTCTCCTTAAAAATGAACAAAAGCAGTTTACATAATTAAAAGACAATATCTGAAGCAAAAAAAGTAAATATACATATACTAAAAAGGATAAAGCAAACACCATACTAAAAGACAGTAAACCAAAGCAACACCAGAACCACATGCAAAGCAGGAAGGCACATCCATCCATTAAAAAAAAACATTCAGGCAAGCAGGCACTCAGCGAAAGCTTGCCTGAAGAGAAAGGTCTTTGCCTGTTTGCGGAAGGACAACAATGATGGGGCCAGCCTGGTCTCCAGTGAGAGGGAGTTCCAAAGACTGGGAGCAGCAACTGAGAAGGCCCTCTCCTGTATCCCACCAAATGCACCAGTGAAATTGGAGGGACTGAGAAGAAGGTCTCCCCCGATGATCTTAACACCTGAGGAGGCTCATAAAGGGAGGTGCAGTCCTTGAGTTACCTTGGACCCAAGCTGTTTAGGGCTTCACAGGTTAGAACCAGCATTTTGATTTGTGCCCAGCAATAGATGAGCAGATACAGCTGTTTGCTAAATATTTCAGAGATTAAAGATTTAGCTGTTTACTAAATATTGGGTTAGCACATACACATTTTCAAATGAATTGTGTATATGCTTACCATGAAAAGAATGGCGTATAATTTAACTATACACAAGAGTAGAAACCACTGTGCCCAAAGCAGGAAGAAGGAGAATGCTATGCTCCTTCTTCCTAAACGGAACTAAAATCACCCTACTCCTTTCAGTGGAAA